TATATATATATATATATATAAATCTTTCAATTTTCTTTGGCATATCATCTGTTTTAGGTTGCTATAATTCATCCAAGATGTTTAAAGTTTGTTATTTGTTCTGTAGGATAGTTTTCAATGAATATTTTGAGCGAATCGCTTCCTTTGATTTCCAACATATTGTTTTCTTTACCTTCTCACCTATATGTATGTAAGGAGAAAATGTGTTCGTAATCGTGCACCGGAAAACGATGAAAGTGAAACTACATTTACGTCCAGGAACAAAACAAGGGACCATCTCAGCATTTGCTCAAAGGATCAGGGAAACTGGACAAAAACCTGATCGAGATGGGGATCATTGTCCTGGAAACTGAAGTACATTATTTGTTACAAACATGTTAAGTCTTTTAAAAAATGTACACAATACAAATGTAAACTAATTCAATATATAGCACCATTTTGTTAAAACAAACATTTTTCGTTTTGATAACCAGTATAGTCTCTAATTGTATAGATACAGTTCCGCAGCAGAAAAGATTTTACTCTTATCTTAAATTTGTGAACCTATTTAATTGTTTAATGTTATCTGGCAATGCGTTGTAAAGTAACGTACACTCTTGGAAACATAAAATTTCGCGTCGAAAATGACTTTGCCCGAGAGGTTGATGGCGCTGGACATCCCTGCTTGCCGACAGCGCTATCTAACGTTTATTCTCGAAACTATCGAAACTACTTTCTGTAGATCGTGCTATGAAAAATTTAATTTATCTTATCTGCGAGACAAGTTTAAAATATACCATTTGAGAACAAAGATTTAGCACTAAGGAAAAAAGACTTTCCGTATTCCTGCAGTAAAACTCCAACTGACATAAATTTTGATAAACTAGTAATGTTCTTTCAAGTTTCTTAATATAAAATGTATTGTTAGATAAGAGGAGCAAGAACAAGGGGGCGCCAGAATGTCTCAGTTATTTAACTCTGTAATCTAGCACTCGTGAATTGCTGGATCGGTTCCCCACCCTACGTAAATTTATATCCATTCTACAGTGTAATTAAAAATACACTAAATCTAAACATTTACATGTCGTGACAATTTTATGCATAAAACGGTTGAAAATTCGCTGTCGCAAGAAGGCGAATATTTCAATTGCTGAAGCAATTAGACAAATAATCCATTATATTAAAAATCTGTGAAAATTGTCATTTCATGTAGTGTGAGAAGAAATAATACATGTTAGCCTGCTTACCGCTCGAGCATTTTTATAACGATTCTTATTATCCACGTGTCTGGAGCCGCGCGTAACGTTTTGAGAGATTTCCCAAAAAAATTTCATCAGCATGAGAGGATCAATAACACCAAAACATTACATAATATTTTATTGAAAAAACTAACCAAAGGTCCCCAACTCACGTGGAACAATCCAAAAAATAAAAGTAAAAAAAATGAAATCGTTGGCCGATTACACTAATTCAGGGTCTAGTTTGAAAATGGGACTTCTCCATCAGTCCTGTTTATGGAGAAAAAACAAAAAAATGTCATATCATTGTTTAAAACATCTATTCTAAATGTTGAGATTAATTTCCTTGGCTTAGTGAAAGTCAAAAAAACTAGAATAAGATAATAGAATGTCTAGTCATGACCCGAAGAAAATGAGCCTAAAAAAATTTAAAAAAAGACCTAATTTGAATTAATTTAAGTATTTTTATATTTTTGTGAAAGCAGTTTGGTGAAAAAAAACTTGTTTTCATAATATTTTAAAAAATATTAATTATTCATTTCGATTTCAATATAATCATGTGAAATTTTTTTACTCAAATATGAAGAATCAGCAGACTAACACGTTGAGCGCTGACGTTTCACAACACTAATTTCATTTCAGTATCAGCTTAATTAATGCTTACGCAGTTTGATTTCTACTGAATGATACATTCTGAATTGGAAAGA